CATCATTTGAATGGGGGGGGGGGTGGGGTGCGGGTGCTGTCTTAGACTTGGGTGGGTTCCAGGGTTGAAGTTCCAGTTAGGTTTAGTAGGCCGCTAATTTGGTTTCTAGTTTACAATGATAAAGTTACTTTATAATATATATTTTAATTGTAATATTCACACTTTTTAATTATGTGGCTCAAAAATGCTTATATAACATTCACTGTCTGCAAAAAGAAATAGAGAAACATTTAAAATTTATTCAAAATTATGAATATATTTTCGCATTTAAAAGAAACAGTTAATAACAGTTTACTACAAAAAATCCCTGAATCGATTACCCGCCAATTTAAGGGTCTATTCAAAATAAATGCAGTGAACATTCAATTTAACTCGCTATTTGATTCTTTATTGTAAATTACTAACTTATTTAAATACTGTATACAAATTAATACAAAAATCATGTTCACCATAGTATTAAGCTTGTGCCTCAACAACATTGAAACCATAGGTCCTATTGGTAAGATCATTCCTTGATGTTGCCATCAATTTAAAGCAATCTTTATATACCTGCAGCTATGATTTGTTGTTGTGATTTACTATAGCCCTTTACATAGCTGCCAAACTGGTGATTACTTTTATGAGAGAATGTTTAATACTTGCTTATCTATATCTTTTATATTGTATTATATGGTTATTTATTTTTGACAATAGAAAGTCATATTATTAATTGAGTGTCATGATTATCGATGTATATGAGACATGCAAAAGTGTCATTTGCAGGTATCTATTATTGGTACTACATCCCTTAAAACATTGGCAGCCATATTGGGCCTGAGGCGGGTGTAGCTGAGGTGCAAATCTTTTATGTAGTACTGCTAGATGCCTGGAAACGCCTAATACCTGTATGCATCGATAAGCCAGTATGGAAAAAAATATTTTAAAAATCTGGCACATCAGCCTGAAAGCTTACTTTTTATCTTTTCCCAATGATTTATTGTTATTTCTGTCCACTTAAAACTATTTTGGAAAACACTAGGTAGGGGAGGGGGAGTTAGACCAGGCTCGTAAAATTGGGGTTTTTATTTATGTGAAATCTTTCTTAAAAATGACCTAGTAGAGTGCACTATTTCCATGTTACCTGAGGTTGCAAGAATTCATCATGTTTTTGGTTGGCATAAATGGTATTTTAAAATTCTGTTTGATATAGGTGACCTAAGAGGTTATGTAGCAAAGATGTTACACAGAAAAACGTTTTATGGGAAGGATGAAGGCTTGTTCAAAGAAAAAGAACGTAAAAAAGAATATTTCACTCAATATCAATCCATTGGACCAAGTTTCATTAAATCAAGTCAAGGTGAGTTTTTAAGTTTCTTTTTTTTGACAATTGCCTTCCGACCTTATGACCATCAATACCTGTCATTTGTGTATGAATCTTTGTTGTGTTGTGTGAATGTTCTTTAATTGTTGGAGTTAATTAGGTAATTATACATATTTGTAATTAATTATAGGCTTCTTACAGTATCAACAGTGTGCAAATGAAACATTGTTTATTTTCATTTGTCCCAAACTTGACCTATGTCTTTTGGAAAATATTGTGCTATATATTATTATTGATAAATTTAACTTAATTTAAGTATAGAATTTAAGACAAATGTAGGCTGATTTTTATCATAGCAGCTTAATATGTCAGCTCCCAAACCACAATTAAAAAAAATACTGTGAGTTTCAAAACTTGGACTGTGAGATATCATAAGTAATACTGTATTATGTATTGATTGAAATACAGTATTATGTGAATTGTGAGTTCCTGACAAATCAATCAACATGACCAAAATGGCCAAAATATTTCATTTTTCAAGTTTTCTCAACTGATGATAATAAGCCAAAAATTGAGTGCATTCCTTGTGGGACTGTCTCAGCTGATAAATTCATGCCAGTGTCTCTCATAAAGTTCATGCCTTGTCTTGGTCTTGCACTGTGTATGGATAACATTATGGGTTCCATACATTATATCATTTCATCCAAAAAGGAAGATGTCTTCCTCTGTGCTTACAGCCTCTCTACCCAAGCCAACACACCAATCTAACTATGTTGTATTGTGGAGCTAATAGTTGTAGCTTCTTTTTAAATCTTTATAAATAAAAAGTCATAGCTAATTTTATTGTTTATTCTTTCAAATAAAATTTTTCATAGGCAAAAAATTACTGTGTGCTTGAAGGCCATTGATCTTAAATGTATTTAGATTGCAACTTGGTCTATACCCAAACAAAGTTTATTATATTATAAAAAAAAATATGCACAAATAATTTTGGAAGGCAATTACTCGTAATCATCTCTGACTCCAGGAATACCTCATATTAATTAATATAAATGCGATAGATACTGGACACTGTTAGTTTCAATATTTTCCAAATAAGTCCAATCCCATTTTTGGCTGATATGATAAATCAAATCTTCCCCCTCCCTTTATTGTCCAGAGAATATTTTCTATGCTCCTTCCATGGTTTTCTCGCACTTTGATGTTGGTTTTGCTTTTTCATGATTTTTCTATTTTGTATGTCACCTTTGTATGTAATTTACTGTATTTGTTTGTGTTGTCATTTTTATGCCATTTTAATATTTTTCCTTTGTAAATCTTTATGCAATTCAGCCTTCTTGCTGCTATGTATGTTTTTATTATTGAATTTTCAATAAATATACCTCAAATAATAATAATATTAATAATAACATCTTTCAATAGTATGTTGTTTCTCTTTTCAGATATGGATGACAGTGAACCATCAGTCGCACACGAGCTGCCAAGTAAAGGTACAATGAAATATGAAAGTCACATAGAAGACATATGCAAATCACTAAGGATGTTTAGTCAGGTCATATTCCCCCATAAGAAGGTAATCTCAGAATCAGATGAGCAGATCATTCGACTGATGAGTGAAAAAGTAAATTTGATAATAAAGGATTCAATAACTGAATTGAAGAAACAATCATCTGAAGACATTGGCAAAATGTTTGCTCATGTTTTAATTGCTGTACAAGATGAAGAAAATGTTTTAGAGGAAATCCATAAATTATGTACTAATGATATTGTCAGTAGTTTATCAACTGAATGTAAGAAATTAAATTTCAAATACGATATTACAAGGTACTACGAATGTAGTTTCAAATCAATTAATATATCATTTTTAATTCATCTGCTGTGTAATGCACCAGCACTTCAGTTACTTGATTTGATATGTTGTGATATAAAAGGTGTTAATGTGAATGATATTGCTGATACATTGTATCAAGAAGGAGTTGTGTTGGAATTAACAGATCTTGATATCAGTGGAAATAACCTCAATGAAATCAAAGGTTCCTCACTTGCCACTTTGCTTGCTGTAGCTCCTAAGCTGAATGATCTTGACATGAGTAAATGCAGTATCCCAGGTGCTGTAATGGATGATATGGTTAAAGAGTGTTCTAGTAGGGGAGTTGTGTTGGAATTAACACGGCTTTATATCAGTGAAAATAACCTCAATGACATCAAAGGTTCCTCACTTGCCACTTTGCTTGCTGTAGCTCCTAAGCTGAATGAACTTGACATGAGTAAATGCAGTATCCCAGGTGCTGTAATGGATGATATGGTTAAAGAGTGTTCTAGTAGGGGAGTTGTGTTGAAATTAACATATCTTAATATCAGTGAAAATAACCTCAATGAAATCAAAGGTTCCTCACTTGCCACTTTGCTTGCTGTAGCTCCTAAGCTGAATGTTCTTGGCATGAGAAATTGCCGTATCCCAGGTGCTGTAATGGATGATATGGTTAAAGAGTGTTGTAGTAGGGGAGTTGTGTTGCAATTAACATGGCTAGTTATCAGTGAAAATAACCTCAATGACATCAAAGGTTCCTCACTGGCCACTTTGCTTGCTGTAGCTCCTAAGCTGAATGTTCTTGGCATGAGAAATTGCCGTATCCCAGGTGCTGTAATAGATGATATGGTTAAAGAGTGTTGTAGTAGGGGAGTTGTGTTGCAATTAACACAGCTTGATATCAGTGGAAATAACCTCAATGACATCAAAGGTTCCTCACTTGCCACTTTGCTTGCTGTAGCTCCTAAGCTGAATGATCTTGACATGAGAAATTGCAGTATCCCAGGTGCTGTAATGGATGATATGGTTAAAGAGTGTTTTAGTAGGGGAGTTGTGTTGCAATTAACACAGCTTGATATCAGTGGAAATAACCTCAATGACATCAAAGGTTCCTCACTTGCTACTTTGCTTGCTGTAGCTCCTAATCTGAATGATCTTGACATGAGAAATTGCAGTATCCCAGGTGCTGTAATGGATGATATGGTTAAAGAGTGTTCTAGTAGGGGAGTTGTGTTGCAATTAACACCGCTTGATATCAGTGGAAATAACCTCAATGATATCAAAGGTTCCTCACTTGCCACTTTGCTTGCTGTAGCTCCTAAGCTGAATGATCTTTACATGAGAAATTGCCATATCCCAGGTGCTGTAATGGATGATATGGTTAAAGAGTGTTCTAGTAGGGGAGTTGTGTTGCAATTAACATGGCTAGTTATCAGTGAAAATAACCTCAATGATATCAAAGGTTCCTCACTTGCCACTTTGCTTGCTGTAGCTCCTAAGCTGAATGATCTTTACATGAGAAATTGCCGTATCCCAGGTGCTGTAATGGATGATATGGTTAAAGAGTGTTGTAGTAGGGGAGTTGTGTTGCAATTAACACAGCTTGATATCAGTGGAAATAACCTCAATGAAATCAAAGGTTCCTCACTTGCCACTTTGCTTGCTGTAGCTCCTAAGCTGAATGATCTTGACATGAGAAATTGCAGTATCCCAGGTGCTGTAATGGATGATATGGTTAAAGAATGTTCTAGTAGGGGAGTTGTGTTGCAATTAACATGGTTTGATATCAGTGAAAATAACCTCAATGATATCAAAGGTTCCTCACTTGCCACTTTGCTTGCTGTAGCTCCTAAGCTGAGTGTTCTTTACATGAGAAATTGCCGTATCCCAGGTGCTCTAATGGATGATATGGTTAAAGAGTGTTCTAGTAGGGGAGTTAAACTTCGTATATAGTAGAAAAAGTAATTGCAATCAGGTAGCAAGTTTTGTAGAGGTGTTTAATGCGTGTTTAATTAATTTGTATTTTTAATATTTCTTAAATACATAATACACATGATGCTATTACAAGGAAGTTATGGTTTTTATATTGATACAATTTTATTTACTGTTTTCTGATTTGCATTATCAAGAATGATTACCATTGGATAACATCGGACATGGCCTAGAACTAAATTAATCGGCAGCTGTAACTGAACATAGAGTTAAGATATAAGGCAGTTTGATAATTTCTTGAGAGTTAAAATACAGTAATACAATAATTGTATTCATCATCATGTTTAGTTGTAAATCAAACCATTTAGTGGAAACCGTAAAAATAGTAATATAAAATATGATTTACATAGCACATATATCCACTTAGGAAGTGCTCAAGATGCTAGATATGGAAACATGGAAAAAAAAAAAACAGAAACCAGAAAACTTGGAAATTAACCCATGAAATGTCCTAAACTAACACCAGTAAAAAATAAGCAGAAGAAGCAATTTGACACACTCAATGCAACGAGGGCGCTGGTTTCTGGCTCTCTTAGCCAATTTAAACATATGTAACACTATACATACAGTAATAGTAGAACAACAGAACTAGAGTGAGGTGCTTAACAATGCATAAAGATCATGCTGCATGGCATGTTGTACTGAATGTGGTGCGGAATTTTTTGAATTCAGGTTTACCGGTGATACTATCATGAATCACAAACCGTTTCTGTACGATTACTCACATTATCCTTTCTTGTACATAATCAACTGATCACCATGTTCCATTTCTGGTATTTGAATCTTTGCAAATTTTCACCAGAGGGTGCACAGGGAACATTGCGTCTAGTTGTTGAATAATCAGTGCTTGCACATAATGAGCTCATAAAAATCATAAATATTTTAGGCTATTTTGAGTAAAATTTTGATTTTGACTTTCAATAGTTTTTGTTATTAGATTGGTATGCTTTTATGATGTAATTTTCAAAATGTTATTGTTTGATAGGTTTAAATTTTGATTACTTTTTTAAGAATAAATAACTTGTACTGTTTGTCACTTTGTATTATGTGTTATTATTATTCCTGATGATGAAGTGAAATGTAAAATATATTTTTGGAGTAACATTAATTACTCTATTAAACTCAGTGCACATCCTAATAAATGTTTGTTTTAATGATGTGGCACTGAAATGTCTTATTATTGAAATTATCTATTTTAATCAATACAATTAATAATTTCTCTTTTTTTTATTGATAATACTTCTCCACTCTCCGTGGGATTACAATATAACAAAATAAATATTGGTAAAATATGTCTGAAAATAAGAATTTATTTTCTTTCTTTCATGTATGTTTATAAAGCAAGTACAACATTAATTAAACATGCAAGCTAATCTAATTAGCTTTCATTATATAATAAATGTCAGATTACAATAATTATAATCTAATATAATTTTGAGTATAAGAAGCCTAGTATAACCATGGAGGTATTATTGAGAAGGAGATCACCCGGCAACAGATCCCTTTGACGCGACAAACCTATGTGTTCCCTGCCTTTGGATCGTGCGCGGGCGTATTACCCTATAATTCACATTCTTTCGTTAGCAACAACTTGGCAACGACATGCATTTATACGCTTCCAGCAGAACAGTTGTGCAATAAAACGTTTGATTTTAACCCATTAAATATCTTTATAATGAACAATGTTCCCCTGATTAGATTTTTTTGGGCTTTTGGTATGTTATTATTTGTATATTTCAGGAACGGATTCCGTAAAATATTTGTTAAAATTACTTCTGTGTTCATTATAATTTTGTCTAAAGATTGACTGGTTCGACTATAAAGCTAAGTCAGCGTAAAACTGAAAAATACTCAGATTTTGGATTCATTTTTCGAATAGTTAACCCTCAGATGTGTATAAGAGACAGAAAATACACTACTGTAAAAGCCAGCTCAACGGAGTAGTGCGCTGATTTAGTTTTAACGATATTACAC